ACGTATGCGACCTGCTGAATGACATGCTCGGTAAAAGGCTGTTTAGTACTTTATTGTTATCAGAGGAGCTGTTAGGTGATCTGTAAATTACCCCTATGAGAAGGCTATCTTTGCCTTTTAGAGTAAGTTCGCACCACACTGATTCTCTAGCTGATTGATGCTCTGCAAATAACTTAACTTGCTGGGCCCCAAATGAGGTTCTAACCCACAGAGCTACACCTCTACTGCACTGCTCTTCATTTAAGTTATGAAAACAATCAAAACCTGGCAGCTGAAATTCAACAGGTACAATTTCCCCCCCGTGATTTTTAGGGAGTGTTTCTGTAATACAAATAATGTCTATAAACTCGTTTACGATTACAGTTAACAGTTCACTTTTCTTGTTCAAAACGGAATCCGAGTTCGTGTAAAAACATTTTAAAACTTTTTGTCCACTTTCACTTTGATGTATGCGGTTACTCCCTACATTATTTACAGGCCTTAATCTACGGACATCATTTCTACTAATTACTTGTCCTCCATCTCCTCCGACTGTCCGTGAGCAGCCGGTGTTGTCTTGGCAGCTTGGAAGTGATTGACCTGGTTTTCCTTGCCTTTCCGCCTGATTCTCTCCTGCCACTTCTTGCGAAAAACCGCCCTTTCCAAGGGGGTGGAATCTTTCTTTACAAAAACTGACTTGTAATCAGCGGATTCTCCAAGCTTATGAGCATACTTTGATGCACAAACGAAGAAGCTATTGTTTGTCGCTGTCGTGCGGCCGCAACATGAGTTGGAAAACGCAGCGTGGTCACCAAAACTAGCAAATTAAAAAAATTAGTCGAGAGACGTGCAAAAATGATAATTCCAAGATTAGAGAGCAAGTCCTATGTAAAATGATTAACAATCATGAAGCTTCTAAAAGTCTTTGTTATTAACATCTGCGTGGCAACCTAAGCGATACAAGTATACTCATGGCATAGAAGATTTCAGAAGGATTACTAGAATACGGAACAAGAACTAACTCCAGGGGCCACCGCTATAAACTAAAACTATGTACGAGTTGCGGTGCAACTCATCCATGCGACAACAGCAATTTTCGCTACGAGTTACCGACATGTGGGACAAACTCCCTGCCGACTTCGTTGATGCTTCGAGGATAAATGAGTGCAAGAACCGACTAGACTCTAGAGAGTCACTAGACGAAGCTATGCAGGAGTATATGTTTCGATTATAAGTGTCTCACACCTCACAAATTGAATGTTCAGCAGATTAGCTTCAACGTCAGTTCTGGAAAGATCTTGTTAAAATGCCAGTCCGCAGATCTCCAAGAGACTAGTCGAAAACACTATAGGAATCGGCGACAGGCCAACTCGTCCTATTCTTCAACGCCGATGTTGCTGTTGTTATATATTATGTTAAACTGTGATGTCATGGACAATTACAATTCAATTGTTCAAATTCTACAGTCCAAATCTCACTCTGGATCACAAAGCAACTGACTTTTACTGCAACTTAGTTCGGAATGTAGCTCATGTCTAGGTGGAATATAGGTGAACGACGCCAAATTTGATCGGAATGTAGACAATTCTGGTTTTTATATCCTAGACCTAACATAACATTGGTCAGGCCCATGGTTAGGTTAGGCCGTTCTGCGTGAAACAAATAAAACAAGATTGTGAAAAAAAGGACGAGTTATTCCCGTACTCAGGCGAAAATTCGCTAATATTGAGTATTAGGAAATAACGTTATTCTATGTGTGGACATCTCATCATTAGTCTTCTAGTGGTAAATCAGAATAAACCGGATGAATAGAGAGTAATGATTAAAAAGTCTGATGTGGAAAAAGATTTGGGAGTTTTTGTCGACAAGGAGCTGAAATTTTCTAAGCATATTGAAACGCAAGCTAATAAATCCAACAAACTTCTTGGACTGATTAGGCTCTTACGAGTTTCTAGATGCAGAAGCGATGAAGCAATTGTTTGTTGCTGTCGTGCGCCCAAACCTAGAGTTTGGAAACGCCGTGTGGTCACCGAAACTTGAAAATGACTTTACAAAAACTTGAAAAGGACTTGACAAAAACTTGGCAAAATTTAATAGAGAATGTTCAAAGACGTGCAACAAGGATAATTCCAGGCTTGAAGGGCAGGTCCTATGAAGAAAGATTAAAGATTATGACGCTTCCAAGCCTCAGTTATCGACGTCTGCGTGGGGACCTAATTGAAGTATACAAGTATATACATGGCTTATACAAGGTGCCAGAAGGATTACTAGAATTTGAAAGAAGAACCAACACCAGGGGCCATGGCTGTAAACTAAGAAACTGCGTTGCAATTCATCTACGCGACATTTCTTCTCTCTTCGAATCACCGACATGTGGAACAACCCGCCGATTACATCGTTGGCGCTCCGAGTATGAACGTTTTCAAGAACAGACTAGATAAAGCTATGGAAAAATATATGTTCAGACTTGAAATGCCTAGCACCAGATGAAACCCGGTGGAAGTCTAGTAGCTATTTCAAAAGTCTAGTAGCTATTTCAAACTGTCGACAGTTTGGAAAAGATCCGGCCGAAGGGCCTGCTTTTAGATCTCCTGTGGACAAGCCACGATAAGTACAAGAGTCGGCGACAGGCCACTGCAGGCCTATTCTTCAGCGCCGACACCACTATACTATGCTAACAGTATTGAAGCCTGTTCACGTATTATTCGTTGCTAAATGGTTAAATAAGGATTAATTGCGATAGATCTTATAAAACCTATATCTCACAACTCTTATTTCATATCTAATTAGTATTTTATCATTGCAATGGCGCACAGTGGCGCTTTGCTGGTTCAGAAATTTGTATTACTGAGATAACAAAAATGTCTCGTATGGTGGTAGTCATCGGTTCTTCCAATTTTCGAGCAGAAGCAATTGCTCTTGTCGCCATTACCAGGTATATTCTCAACCAGATATTGTAGAGTGAATATGAAAAAGGTGTTTTAATTCAGATCAATGCTTATTCTCCAGCGAGTGCGGCAACAATAGTGCTACTTCATTGTTACTGTGAGAATAACATGAAAATCATAGTTCCACCAAGAAGGATAAGGGAAACGAATAATGTAGAATTCCGTTTTGTTTATTCAAAGACTTTACAATAAAGCGGGGACATGCGGTTAGATTAGTTGAATAACATACTTTGCTTTGCCTCGTTTCGTTCAAACGGCACAGGCCAGCTATTGGGCGGTCGACTTGTGACAACACTGCATATGCGCAGCAGTAGTAGTAGTAGTGAGAAACGTTTCTGGGAGCTTTACTACCACATACTATCTTCAAGAATATTTCTGAGCTAAAAGGGGATGTAGTGCAACTCATGCCGAAATTTTATCAAATCAAATTTCACATTAGATTGCATTTCAGAAGAGCCAGCGCGCGGAAGCTAGCAAGCCATTGGCAGTACATCGAAGCTAGTGACAAAGAAATGGATCAGGGATATCAGCAGTAGAGACGAAGACAGAGGGATTGGCTGCTCTCGACGATACTTTGGCTACCCACGAGATCGGTGGCAGCCAACTGGGCCAGGTAACCTGCCTACATAACAATTTAACACTGCAACCGTGGATTGCATTCAGACCGTGCGAGCTCTATGGTGGGGGGCTCGGGGAAAAATACCTCAGCGAATAAGAAGCCCAGAATTACCTAAAACCAAACCTGTGAAAAAGACTTCGTTCTTCCAGGGGTATTAGATTTAAGTTGGCAAGAATGAATTCTGAGTTACGAAATTAATGAAATTTACCGGGTCCAATAAATGATCAAGATTATATGCAATTTACCGTAATTAGTCCTTTCCCGCCGATGTACGAATTAAGCTCTTCTTGTAGCACATAAATGCATCTAGCAGCTCGCCCAGTCGCCACTTAGAGCTATGTTCTTAGGAGTAGATTTGAGAATACGATGTAGCGGTAGAACGTGCATTAGATCCTATTCAGTAAAGTAATCTGAAAGTAATTGATCACTTTAGATACCAATTTCAGTAGTAACATAACAAAGAATCGTTGCTTCTGACTCAAACTTAAGTTATCTTTCCCTGAAAGGCAAAGAAAACAAGCTCAGAATAACCTCCACTGGTATTCCACGAAAAAACGTTAATATAATACAAAACTTAGAATTAACAATCTGCCACCTTGACAAGAGGGAAAAATGAAGCCTTCGTCGCACGCAATCACTATTTACAATAATGAACTACACCGAAACTACTGAAATGATGAACCTGAATGCAACGAAAAAACTACCTAGGTAGGACATGACTTGACGAGAGGCAATCAATAAAATTCAACAGCTAAGCCTATCCGACAATCCGGTTGATTTAGACAACCTAAGATATCTTAATCATCATCTGGTGCGTTCAAATTCAGTCACGGTATACAGAGGAATATACGAGAGTTTTTTTGGCTGAAATTCAAGAAGCAGTTATTACTTGTACCGAAGCAAAGATACATCGTTTGAATTTTCAACCTTAGTAACACGTTGTTCATAATACGGACACGTTAAGATAGTGCAACATAGAGTATGCGCCGACAGGTCAGTTATAGACCGACTTAGAGAAGTCTGCACCAAAATTATCTCGAAAAGATGGGGAACAAGAAGAAAGTAAGATCTGCAAATAAAGATCCAAATCGGAAATGCAATAGCAATCCTCACAAGATCTGCCAAACAAAAAGCAAGCACAAAAAAGTATCAATGCAAAAATCAAAGGGATGAAATCGATGGATAAACAGGGACAAGAGCCTCTAATGCGCACACAGGAATCATTGACTATAAGCGGTATGTTGCATCGTCTATTTGATTGATTGATATTTCGACTGATCTGGATACAAATATTCATGAACATATATTTATTATAATAACCTTATCAGTAGGCCGATAAGGAGGGTTTTCAAAAACTAATAAGAGGTTGTATAACTCGAGTCGACGGTTCTTGTAAAATTTCATGAGTAGACGAGAATCTGAAGAATAGGTAGAGCAGAAATATAAATAAACAATCACGATCGTGAGAAGCTGACATTATAAAGATAACACGTTTTCCTTTTCAACATATAATGTACAAGATTAATGGCCAAAGAAAATGACAAACAAATCTAATCTTCCCCGCCATTGATATTATTGTAGCGTGATAAGAATAGCTATGCAACGAATTATAACGGCATATTTCTCCCTTCCATGCTCATGGCGACAGCACGCTTCACTTTACCGAGACTTTTCTTCTGCTGGAAGAGAAGCCGCTGTTTATCTAAGCGACTCTTCTTGGCCTTGACATTCTTACGCACTTCACCTTCAACAGTGGATTTTGGTCTGACTACGTAATCGCTGCCTGAGGCTTGAGGCACCCGCGCGCGGTAGCACCAACCAGGGTCCCCAGGGCGCAAAATTTTGCTATTATTTTCATCAAGCACAGGCTCCTGCTTCCGAGACAGAAGTCGCCCAGTCTCTTTCATTTCGAGATCTCGTTCAAGGCGTTCTTCTTTCGTCAGAGATTTGAAGTCATCAGAATTGTTGAAAATAGGTCGAGCCCACTTACTAATAAGTCGTCCACAGCGTTCTCTGTTGATACGTGACTCTCTTGGGTGCCTAAATAAGTACATGATGGCCTTTCCAATACCTGAAGTTTTGAGCATCTCTTGGGACAGAGGTGGCAAATTGGAGAGCCACTTGATGATACTGTGCCTAATTGGTGCTGAAGGTAATGAGTGGTCAGGCATGGGTGCAAGCCAGTCTGTTAGAGCAGTCAAAACGTTAGCGTCCAAGAATCCTTCTATGAGATCTGTTTTACTAATTTGTCTCATGGCCAAATCTAGAAGAGCCATTTTATTAGTCGCTGGTTTGTGTTGCAAGTTCAATTGTCGGTCCTGATCCGCAGCAATGCGCATTTTGGAAACCAGAACGCTGATAAGCTCCTCATTATCATTGATAATATCAACATTCATTTTACGACGTCGGCCACCCATCAATTCTTTCTTACGTGCCATCATAGCATCAAAATCATTAACAAATTCAGCTTGATCATTGCTGTCACGAACACCCTCATCATCACTGGAGTCAGCTGCTTTTGTGGCTTCTTCCGTCTGAACATTAATGGCATGGCCATTCTCAGACTCATTCTGAGGAGCCTCTTCAACCTCTTCATCTGAATTGCTGATGGCATGTGGTCGCTTGGGTCCAGGAAAGCCCTCATCAGAGCCAGATCTGCTACCACTCCTAGAGCGTTTTCGACTTTTGGATGCATTCGGTTTCTTTGATGGTCTGCTTTCATCACCTGAGTCAGAGTCTGAAAGAACTTGATTCCTACGCTTATTACGAGACGATCCTGGAGAACCACTCCTGCTCCTTGATCGACTAGAAGACGGACCTCTGGACCTCTTTCTTGAACTAGGTCTCCTTGAACGGCTGCTTGATTGCCGACTTTGGGGGCTTCCTGATCGACTTCTAGAACGAGGACTTCCTGATCGGCTCCTGGAACGAGGACTTCCTGATCGGCTCCTGGAATGAGGGCTTCCTGATCGGCTCCTAGAACGAAGACTTCCTGATCGGCTTCTAGGGCGTGGACTTCCTGATTGACTTCTAGAACGAGGGCTTCCTGATCGGCTTCTAGAACGAGGGCTTCCTGATCGGCTCCTAGAACGAGGGCTTCCTGATCGGCTCCTAGAACGAGGGCTTCACCAGACTGACGTCTAGAATGAGGACTTCCAGATTGACGTCTAGAATGAGGACTTCCAGACTGACGTCTAGAATGAGGACTTCCAGACTGACGTCTGGAATGAGGACTTCCAGACTGACGTCTAGATTGAGGACTTCCAGACTGATGTCTAGCATGAGGACTTCCAGACTGACTTCTTGATCGAATTCTCGCATTAGGACTCGCAGATGCACTTCTAGATTTGGGCTGGGCAGACGGAGAAGAAGCGGCAGCTGGGCTTCTGAATCTCCTAGAGGTATCAGGACTTGTTGAAGACTGGGACTGAGCAGGAGATCTACTTCTAGAATGAACTGGACTCCTTGCATGATGTTCTGGGCTCTTAGAAACAATTTCAGATCCAGTACGACTTCTGGAACCACTCCTTGAACAGGCTGGGCTAACTGAATCCCGGTTGGAATTGGCAGCAGAGCTTTTAGGTTCAGCATTAGACTCAGTAGGGCTGCAAGGACCACTAGGAGGGCCAACACAAACAGGTTTTGCAGCTGAACCATTCACGGAAGAGGCTGCATTCATATTGGCTCTGAAAAACAAGACCTCAGTTATTCAAAATTATTTTGAAATTGTAATACCAATAAATACAGCAAATATTAAGTGCCAAATTAGTAAGCATTTCCTGTGAGCATAACATTAATTGGATTAACATGGACAATGCAATAATTTTGCTAATTTTGAATAAAACTAAAGGGGCATGATTCACTCATCATGCTCTTTGACGAGAGATTATGTTAGCAGAATTTATCATTAAAATTGTGTTGATAACTATGTGTTATATATCATTGCATATGATACAAAAAAAAGCTGTAAATAAGCTTCATTTCACACATATCAAACCCTCTCACAGGTGAGTGACCATTAACAGTAACTTCAAATTTCATTACAAAAAGACCCACAATGGCCATCAGTTTCTGTTTGAAGCTATGTTAGCATGCCTCTGACAATCACCAATTTTCTGACTATTGTTCAACACATTGCATCACCCCCAAACATGTCCAATAGGTAATAAAAATCTGAGCATTTATATAAATTAAAGTTTTGTCTTGGAACATGAAATTGACACTTAAAAAGTTAGAAGTTGCAATATCTTTTAAATTAATCAATTTAACTTGATGGAATTTACTTAAATTGAACTTAGAAAGTTACTCTTTATATTCAAATCAATAAATTTGATGTACGGTACATTAAATTTTTCAAGTATAATGACTATATATAGGTAATAGGTAGATTATTCAATTGTGAATAATATAATATAGAATAAATACCAACAAGTAGATATAGCTTACCATACTATTTCATACTTTTTATACTTGTTTTGGAAACTTGGAATATGAAATGTGTTTATGCTTGCCAACAAAAGGGTTAAAAATTGATGCAGAAAAGATAAAAACTACATTGATTTTCATGAACCACTTGCATACAAAGAGCTTTGATTAGCTATAAGTTCCAACAGGAAAACACTAACTTGTCATGTTCAAATTGATCTCGTCTTGACTTATGAGATCCCAAGGAAGAATTTTCAGATCCAGCAGACTCAGCAGAGCCATTGGCCGATACTGAAGGAGCAGAGGCATCCAAATACTCTGGTTCGCCATCCATAGCAGGCTGGGGGCTGGCTGGATTAGACATCTCTGCCCAAATAAGAATTGATTAATCTTTTTTGTAAAGAAGTTTTGGTCATTCTAATGCTACTAAGTGACAAATCATACCGTACTTAAATGAAAAATAAATTCTAAAATAACTGCAGATACAAAAAATACACTAGTAAAAAAATAAATAAACATTTCAGCAGGTGCTAATGAAAAACTCTGTACTTTCTACACCTCCTGACACCACCATTGCGAGTCAAAAAAAGGTCCTTTCTCAGCTTTTAATTCTACAATATGAGGAAATTGCTTAACTCTATAATTTTGGCCAGGTTGAACATTAATGAGGCAAGTCTTGGCCTCAATTGTAAGTTTCCCAATTTTGATATCACCAGGAACATATTTATACAACTGCATGAAAAAATAGTAGGTATTCATTACAACTAAACAGGTATCACAGTAATATAGGTATTGAATTAGAATTTGGGGAGGAACTGTTTACTTGAAAAGGAAATGAGTCAGTTTGCATGGATTAATCAAGGAAGATAAATATATAAAGTTTCCAAAAGATAAATTCTAAGTTGAGGCTGGGCAGAAGAATTCCCAATGAAACATTCATTTGAGTATGGCATGTAAAAACACTTGTCATCTTGGAATAGGAAATATGATGCTAGATTACATCTTCCTAAGGTCATATACACCAGGAGCCAATCTATAAAGACTTGTTCAAGAATACATAGCGGCCTAAGAACACTCTGAAGCCAATTTCTTACCAGTAATTAGTGGATTTAGCTTGAAAAGCTGCCAGTGATTGGCAGATAGATTTACCATCTCTTAAGATTTACCATCTCTTAAATATTTTTCATACTATCACTCCCAGTGTCATCTCAAGTCAGATTGAGTTTTTGTGTCTCTTGTTCAAGAATATCTCTTTGTTGATCTCTCTAACATTTCCATAAGGTCAACTGATTTGAAGCCATGAGCAAAAAGAAACCATATTAAGATACATACTTTGCAGTTGGCAAAACTTTGATTGTCCTTATACTACAATACTGTCAAACAAGGTAATAAGTGACTGGTGGGGTAAGTCAGGACAGTCCTCTGTCATGGTGTAAACTTCAACATTTTTCCTTATATTATATTTTCCTTATATATTCCTTATATACTTCAACATTCTTCCTTATATTTCCACATTTCCTATCCAAATAGCATAAAGAAAGTTAAGAAATCATGTACTTTCTAGCTCTAAAAAATTTGAGAAAAAATGTAAAAAAGTGAAATTATGAAAAAGTACTTGGGTCTGTAGTAAAAGCTAGGCTAAGGTCTGGAGTAAAAAAATTATTTGCTGTAGTAAAAAATTTTGCTTCAAAATAATTTGCAGTCAGATGTTGGCTTTAATACTTTATTGACGGAATTTGGGTACCTTAATCGAAAACTAAATGGCAGCCATTAATGCAAGATGGGGTAATAAGGGACATCCCCCTCCCCAGGTAATATGTGACACCCTAACACATTTACAGCAGAACCTTGGTTAGCAAGGGCTCCAGCCAGTTAATAGCCAGCCATTGGCAAGTGTCAAAATGCTAGGCACACTGCTGGCCACTCAAGCTCCAGGGATGGACTGGAACCACCTGGCAGCAACGAGCGAGTAATTTATAACCTTGCAGTTCCCTACTGAAACATTGCATGCCCTGATTCCTCCAATGTATGACAATTGAGAGAAATCCTGCATTAATCTACAGAATTACATTTTTTTATTACTTTGGATATTTTGTTGTATCTATCTTAAGAATTTTGATTCAATATTGAATGGTAAACTAATCAGTATAATAAATTGGAGAAAGAATGCACATTGGGAAAATGAAATAAAATTGTTATGTTTCACAAACACAAATTGCAAAATTTGCCTCTTGTTACAAGTTGTGGTAAAAAGTTTACAAAATTCAGTGCAATGTTCATCATTTGAAAATAAATAGCTGTACAAGCATTAAAAATTTCAGCCTGATAGCATCTTTATGAGCAAAGTTACAGTGGGAGATCTTAAGTGAAGAAATTGAAAATTGATAAATGACAAAGAATTTTGATTGCATTTACCTTGCTCTGCAAAAAAAAATTTACTTGACAAAAAATTAATGCTTCAGTCATCACAAAATTGTGCATTGAATGAAAGACAGAATCGTGCACCAGGCAACATAGAATGAAAATAAATTAACCTAAACTATGATTTATTTCTCCAAAAATTTGATGGTTGTCACTAAAATATTTTTATATGTTTCAGGTCCCATAAACTGAGGTGACTTTGGCCACTGGGGTGACTTCTGCCAGCACTACAACAGAAACATATGGCAGCAAAACAAAGTAATAAATGCTGGCCAAAGTCACCCCAATCACTTTGGCCGACATCCAAAATTCACCTTTGGTGAATTTTGTTTTGCTGCCATTTGTTTCTGTTGTAGTGGTGGCCAAAGTCACCCCAGTTGACAGTATATTTTATGATCTTTTTTTTTTTTGTTATAGTAAATTCACTTGACCAAATTAAAATAATGCAAAATTACAAGCCCAGCCATCTAAGCTTACAGATACAGAGGAAATGCTATATGGCTGCTGATATGAAGCTTGCAGGACAAGGTTGTTGTCAATGGCATGTCCATGGATTTGGTAATATATCAATACGGAAAAGTATGGATATTCTAATATCATATCAAAATGGATGCCATTATTTCATATCAATAAACAAAAAATCTGTACATATCACAGAGAACATCATTTATCCTACATTTACATTATCTACAAAGGAAAAAGAGAACTTTGTGGTAGTTTTTGTAATGAGTGAGTACACTCTGCACTTCTAAGTTCAAACATTATAAAATTAGGTTTTATTTCAAGTGTCCTGAATTACCCCGTTGTTGCCGGGAGGCTTTCATGGCTTGTGTAGCACATCCTATCTGTGCTTATTTATCCTCATTATTTGCCTCCAGCCTTGCCTTTGCCTCACCTCAATGTCTTTGACCTCTTCTGTTTCAGTCTCTGTTACAGGTAGGTACCTATTCATGCACTTATAAAGCTGAGCCCAGTGAATATGACACTCTGCTGTGTAACAGAGCGGTCTGACAGTCCTGACCACTCATGCTTGGACATGCTGGTTTGTGGGTGTTCACCCTTAGAATAGATATGTTTTGTCCTTGTTAATCTACTTGTGTTTTCTGTAAATATGGAAATTATTCTTAATTTAATATATTATTTGTGATTCACTATGGTCATGATTGCATTTTCTTATGATTCCTATTTTAAACAACTAGTCAGCTATATTTACTTAATTATCTGTCTTGCATTGTTTAAGTGTGTTCAGCCTGCAAACCCTTTTGGTTCTTTGCTTTCACTTAACTTGCTTTGAATCCATTTAAATGACTATGACTATGACCCTTGCTTGTTTTGTTAAGGTTAACTGATAAGTCCCTTGCCTTTACTTCAGCCTGCAGTGCTTGATTAAAAATTAATCCTTTCAATTATAGCATCTCAAGTAATACATATTTTACCATTTTGTTAATCTTGTGTATTTTTACAGCTGGCACGGTAATGTTAAGTTCACCTTAACCCAGCCTGTGCTCTTGCCTTTATTAGTGATTTTTAGATTTTAGTCTATCTATTACAAATCATAGTTTTCACTCATTTTGTAATTATGTGCAGACCTTGTTCATTTGATACTGTTTCTAAATAAAATGTAAAACCTTAGAGCTTTCAAACCTAAAATTCTGACTAGCATTAGCACTTCCACAATATTCATTCATTCTCTTATCCATCATCAGGGTTCGTACCAGTATTTAGAAAAAAAATCCAGAACTTTTCTATGACTCTCCACGAACATCAATATCATTTTCCAAGAATTCTATACAACAGGTTTAGCATGACTGAAAGACTAACCGTGGATATTCTATCATTTCCTACAGTTGATAAATAGCAAATGTGTAAATGCCCTCTTCATGGATCTTCAGAGGTGGCATGGCTCTTCAAAGATGCTTCCCCCGTATTTGAAACATGGAAGTCATTCCAGCACTATGTACATATCACCATACTGTCAACTAGCATGATTTTGTCCACTGGAGGTGACTTTGGCCACACCTACAACAGAAACAAATTGCAGCAAAACAAAATCACAAACATTGACCAAAGTGACTGGGGTGGCTTTGGCCACTGGGGTGACTTTGGCTAACGTTTGTTATTTTGCTTTGCACCCATTTCTTTCTGTTGTAGGTGTGGCAGAAGTCACCCCCAGTTGACGGATGGCAAGCAAGCCAGCCACGATAAGCTTCTATTTTTAACCACAAGTCATGAAATTTACGCTTTCCACGCATGGCGATGTAGAAATTGCACGCTTAAGATGGAAGGCTGCCACTGCACATCAAAAAGTTTTGCAAGCAACTGAGCTCAGTGACTGAGCTCACGTGATTGGTTCTCTAATAGCATGACCCTGGTACACGTGATAGGAGAACCAATCAGAATGCATTAACCCTTTCACGAGTAAGTTACAATATATGATCACTTGAAATCGCGTCACAAAAAGCCTCACCACAGCTTCCTGTTTTTTTTTTTTGACTCGGACAATGGAACTGACGCTCTTTCCGCATTTTCTTCAAAAGGTGGAAGTATCAATATATATATTTAGGTATTTATTTTGGCAACTTGATTAAATTTAATTATATTAAATTTTTATGTTTCTAATTTTTCATTTGCATAAACTGAATTTTAATTATAAAGAAAAATTTTGTGTACTGATCGCATTTATTGAATTCTTCAAGTGCGATTTAAACTTTCAATAGGCAAAATTAGCAAAAATTCATAGAAATAAATATATTGTATAATACTTCTAACTTTCTTGAAATGGTTTCCGAAATTTTAATTTCTGGATATTTCAATGCTTGCCCGCTAAAGGGTTAAACAAGAGACTGTGGCACAGTCTCTCATTCCATGCGTGCCAATCAGAATGCAGGAAACAAGAGACTGCGCAAACAGTTAAACTCTAATTGCTTGGGGTTAGAGGGAAAACG